AACGCTCTCAGCCATCCTTCCTCTAACCCCATCCCATGAGCTTTGTGGCACCTTCCTTCTCCCAACCRAGGTTTCAGGGACTCTTTCCACTACATAGAGCTCCTCAATCTCTTTCTTCTCCATCTGAGGGGCTAGAGCCCTGCTACGTGCCTGGCTCAGAAGTTGCTTTGGCTTCTTCCCCCTCTCTCTTGCTTACCGTTTCCCCTCTGTACAGTGTCCCTTGGTTTCTCTGGTGACCACAGCTCCCTGRATCGCTGCTCCATCACTCTCCCCTCCATCCCTCACTGAGAGCTGCCCTCCCATCGCGCCAGCCCTCTGCTTCGTCACCCACCACCCTCCTGCCTCACGCTCCTGGCAAGGAGCCTTTGCAGGGACGGGTGAAGGCTTCGTTAGTCTAATTGATACTCCTGGGAAAAGCAGCTCTGTAATCAGGCACATTGTCCACGAGTCTGAAACAGGAGCAGCAACTTAGAGACTAAGACTGCTTGGGTGCTCACAAGAGCATGACTATTTTTTGCAGCAATGTCTTTTGGTCAAATAAAAGCAATTTTGTCTTGCCTTGAGCCGTACCTAAGCCTTAGGTGATCATGACTCTGAAAATCATGGCTCGTTATGACTACCAACACTGTTATGCTATTCCTACAGCTGAGGTGGCCCAGTCTGCACCCTCTAATTACATGGTCTAGACTCTTCAAAGCCCTCCCTTAATTCCCTGTTATTCTCTTCTTCCAAATGCCAACTTTCCTTCTGGTCTTCTTTGCTTTTCCAGCCTTGCCAGCTGGTTTTCTCTCAGGCAGAATTACAAACTTGGCTACCCAAAGGCAGAGAAGTTGTCTCCYTGGCTGCCTGGCAGGACTCGGACCTCGGTACAAAAGATGGAAAGCAGCTCCTGAGGGCTTTCGAGTGGGCCTGGGCTCTGTGAAGGGCACTGGCCATAGGGTCATGGAGAGTCCTGCACCTCTGCTCATTGGGGACCATGGCTAGGGTGGCACAATGGGGGCAGCAGTGGTAATGCTGGCATCCCTCAGTGCTCGCCTGAAGAAAATAAAAGGCTTGGGGAAAGTCCTGGGGCTGGATGGGCCTTCTCTCTTGGGAGTATGGGGACATGCGATGCAACCAGAACCTGCTAATGAGCCCAGGAAGCAATGCACAGTGTTTGCTTGACATGGCAATTAAATTGTGATTGATTCCTGGAAAAGCTACTTAATTTATTCTTAACTGGATTTATCGTAGCCAGCATCTGTGCTGTGCATCCCATTGAGGGCTGCCCATTCCTGCCAGCAATGCACGGACCCTCCACGTGAGGGAAGGAGGGAAAAAACTCTGTGCTGGTCCTGCAGACACCTGGACCAACCCAGCGGGGAAGCGATGTGGAGACGGGATGCATGAAGCACACAGCTGAATTTGAAACATTTTCATTTTCATGCCTTATTTTGGCTCCTTTCATAGAGCACTTGCTTTGAGAAGCTCCAAGTAAACAGCGTAGTTCTGCTTTTCCTGTTCCGCCAGGGAATGCTGCAGCTGGTGCAGAGAGCCTGGGAGAGCCCCCGTCTCCTTAGGGTGCTTATGGGAATGGCTGCATAAGGGAAGAAGAGATTTACTGTGGAGCAGCAGGCAGTAGCCTCTGCCATACAGCTCAGCCTGGCTGCAAGGATAGTCCAGCGCTCTAAAGCTGCCTCCTCCCAGGTGTGCCCCTCTCTGGGCTCAAGCTGTGTGTGGACATTTGTATGCAGGCATCTTCCCCACGTTCCTAATCGCAGCTCACTGCTGTTACCTGGTGCCAGTRTTGCAGACTAGCACCGTGGGACTGATGGTTATGCATGCTGTCCAACCACGCTGATAATGAGGATGGAAAGTGGCTGCTCTTAGCCAATTTTGTCTTTTACAGCTTCCTTGCTTTCATCTGSCTGCTTCATTCCTCTTCCCTCAAGTCTGGTAATAAAGTCCCAGTTAAATTCACTGTAGAATCCAGATAAATCAAATTTGGTTTGGAGATGGCCATGGGGTCATCTGAGCTCTGCTGCTCCCTGCATCTGTACACGTTCCTTGCTTTCCTTGTGGTCCTGCTCTAATATTCTATTTTTATGGCCCTTGTCCCCACAGGGCTCTGCACGAGGCGCAGTCCTGGCCTGCAAACCCTRCTCGGTGTGTGCGAGGGCAGGTGCTCACACACACGCACACTGCCTGCAAGCGCAGGCTGATCCCGGGGACTGAGGAGCAGGAAGAGCTTCTAGCCCCTCAGGCCCCAGATCTGGAAGGAGGTTTCAACCTTGGCCTCAGGCGTGTTATCCTGACGCATCAGCAATATTCCTGCCTTTGCTTTTTAGAGACACACTCACCCTGGGATGTATGATCCCCATGGCTCCTCTCTCCTCCTCCTCCAGGCAGCCCATCCTCTTTCATCCATCAGCCAGTCCTGGAGTTCTGTCTGGCAGCATCCTCCGAGCTGCACTGCAAGCTACAGAAGTCAGTCTTACCTCCTCAGAGGATGATCTTTAATAACTTTCTTGCTGTGATTTTGCCCTAGGGTCCTATAGTGCCAGAGGCCACCAGTGTCCCTCCCAGCCACTGCTGCTGCCCACTCTCCGGTGTCAGCCTGTGTGCCAAAGYCCTCTCCCCAAACACTCACTGCCTCCTTCCAAGCCTCCTTTCAGCCTTTTAATTCCCCATTTCCCTCCTTTACCCTGCCCATATCCTGAGTATTTCACCATCTRTGCCTGTGAACGTATGTCTTTGCTGTGCAATTTTCTCCCTCCCGCAAATCATTTACTGAAGACGTGGAGAAAGATAAGCAGCAACCATCACACATGCAGTATCCAGCAACCAGCAGCCCACAGCCAGCCTGCTGGCATTTTCAGCACATTCGGATCCCTCTCCTGCAGACAGCTCCCAGCAAGAGCAGCAGCAAGCTCCCCTCCCTCCCAGCTGGAAGTCACTGACAGAAACATCTCTTGACATAAAGCATGAGTGCCTTGCTAAAACTCATCATCTTTCTTCTATTAGAGCTCAGTTTCATGTCTTTCTGCTCATGGTTGTCCCATTACTCTCAAAAGGTGCTCAGTGACTATCTTCCCTTTACTGGTTTATTAAAATAAAAATATTTTGTTAGAAATGTAATTGACACGTCAAGGAAAGTAAGCAAGAGGTTTTCTGCTTTCCTTTCCTAAAAATGGAGATCAAGCTTTGTGCTCCAGACATGTTTCTCTGGGTCTGTGAAGGAAATAAAAATGTCTGTGATACAAATATGCATTTCCCTTAAATATTTTGAAAATACTGAGCGGCCATCTGCTGTACACACATTATCTGTTTTTACTAGGAAGATGAGAGACTGAAGAAAGCAGATGACAGTTTTGGGGAGGGAGTTGGGGAGGGTATTTGCTGAAATAGGCAGAGTTTTAACAACACGGGAGTGTTTCTGAATGGCTTCATTTTCCTGAACAGCTTTCAAAAAATTGACAACTGCTGCCAAAAAAAAAAAAAAAAGAAAAGAAAAGAAAAAGAAAAACAAAAGCTCATTGACAGGGCCCTTGAAAGCTGGATCCTACACTAACACGTTTTCAGTATGGAAAAATTTGGCCAAGGGGACAGTATCACTTGGGGGGTAACTGGGCTTTCCATTCTCTAGAGCCTTCACCTCAAAATTCTTTGTTTATATTTTCTTCCCAAGGATAGATTTAAACCCAAGGTGATGTGCTATCTATCAGAAAGAGTCGTGTGCCAGAGGGAAGCCTGTGCCAGGTGGAAACGTGTCTCTGCTATACAATATACTGCAGAGGAAGCAATTACTGAGGTCTCCACGGAGGACAGTAACATTTGGGGTTGCAAGGCAATAAGGTGGCAAACGCCAGGAGCTGGGAGTTTGCCTCGGAGCTGCTGTAAGACACAGTGCTCAGGTACTGAGGAGTGCAGAGTAATCATTCCTCTCTCCTGGGGAATTCTGATATTTCACTGTACATCATCTCTGTGCCAAGGTGGTTGGAGAGCCAAAACAGCAAATGCTCCTCGTAAGGAGAGGAGTTGAAATATTTCATCTCAGACATTTCCATGTGAAAAGTGGCACAGTTGACACAAACACATTGTTTCAGCAATCTAAAATAGAAGAAAGAAATAAGGAAGTAAATTTGACGGAAGAAGAGATCCACGTTGACAAAACTACCTTTGGATGTGGGGTTCCCCTTTGGACTTAGCAGTGCCTGAAGCTGATGGTCCAGTGGCTATCAGTTGTACCCAGGGGTTGAACTGGTTTAAATAAAGTCTTATGTGATCTTTGTTTACTTGAATTGCCATGATTTCAATGTCAGCCCATCCCCATGGGGGCTCCCATTWAACCTATGCATCCCTCTGTTCCTCYGYGTGGTTGTCTGAGTAACCAATACTCCCCAAGCTGGTACCCAGGCCAAAGCRCTACTCAGGATGTCCTCACCACCGCCTCCTGCCTTTCCTCGATTTCCAATTACCCTCTGAGCCCCAGCTCAGCCTTGAAAGAGCCTAGAAATCATCCTACAAAAGGCCATTAGCTGCATGTGTAGTGCCTGGAGGGCTGTAATTCACTGCGTGAGCCTCCACTTTGGGAAGTCAGGAAGGCCTCTCAAGTAGATGCAGCATCTTATCTGCTTCTGTGCTCTACGTTACCCTTTGTAGCAGCACAAATTACAAGCTAGCATTAAAGATGTAGCATGTCTTTTCCTATCAGACTGCACGTGGCTTCTCAAGATGCATTATAGATAAAGCAAATCCACATCTTAATCTGGTCTGAATCAGATCATCTTGTTGCATGGCTGCCTCCTTATCTTACTACCAGCTGGGGAGAGATGAAGAGATGCTCAGTTTCCTGAGATAGCGTTCAAGCTGTGGAAGCGGGGGAAGGATCTAATTTCTTTAGCATTGCCAAATCCTACTGTTCCCATTAGCTTCATTTTGACATCCCCTCCGCATGGGCCACAGGATTTTCTTTTTCCTTGACTCACTGAAATAACAGCCTCCTTGTTCCTCCTCTCTCTGCTTGCTCAGGACAGCCCTCCCCAGCTGCCGTCGGGATGGAGAGTGTGCGCGAGCTCCAGAACCCGCTCTTGGCCAAGGCCAACGGGCACCTTCACAGCAGCTATTCCTACCACCAGCATCACAGCCAGGACTACCCCAGTCATCGCTGCCAGGGGAAACTGTACTCCTACATCTTCCAAAACACTGGCAGTGCCAGGACTCACCAGCTGCTGGATGCCAGTTCTCTGCAGCTGGCTGTTGAAGCTTTATATGGGCCAAATTTCATCCTTGTGAAGGATGAGACCCCTCTCAAGGCCAAGGACAGCAAGACAGAGAGCTGTGAGACCACTTTCGTGGAAAGCAAAGAGGCCCCATCTGAAGGTCCTGACGGGTGCGACACACAGGGATCATGCCTGGTAGAGAGTGACATCCGCATCCAGACTGTGTCTTACGAGGTGGAGGAGGAGGAACTCCAGGAATATGAGGTGAGCTCTGCTAGGGTGGAATAGAACCAAATTCTTCTCTGATAATTGGGACCATTGGGTCAATTTCTTGGTCATTTATTCTGTTTTCTTCTCCCTTCCCTTCTCTCCTCTCATTTCCCATAGCTTCTTTCCCAGACCCTTTTCTGCCTTGTCAGTCTTTCTCTGTGCAACCAATATTTCTTATATTTCTTCTTTCTCCACATAATTTCTACTCCCTTCTCCTCACCGCAGACCTCAGAAGGAGGTCAGTTTCCCTGATGGCAGCTTGTTTGCATCCCCCTGGGAAAGAACAGGAGATACATCAGTGTGTGCAAGACTCAGAGGATAATGCAGAGCGTTTGACAAGGGCATCTTGTGGCTTCTGTGTCAGTAGCAGTAATGGGAAATAGCAGCCATGTTGAACAGTGAAATCCGCAAGCCTGATGCCAGCAATCATGAGGAAATCTAATAGAAAAAGACAGCCTGGACCTTGCGACGGAAGAGTAAGAGCTGGCAAAGCAGCTTCATGCTGTTTGCCTCCCCACAGCAGCCAGGAACATCCCCTAGATCCCCGAGGTCGGAGTGGTCGCCAGCTCCTGCTGGAGCTGGCATCTCATGAGCTGGTATGGCTGTGCTGGCTTCGATGCTGCCAATGTGGATTTTTCAGACTGCCACACGCTTTTCCCCCATTCCCGTGGGGGGAATGTCTTTCCCACAGTGGCATGTTGAGTCCGGCTGGTCTGCTGGACAAGAGCGCCCACGTGCAGGCAAAATTACTGCAGCTGCTCTGAGAGCTGCAGTCACTAAGGCAACAGGGCAAAGCGCCGCGATGGAGGCTCCAATTCAAGTGCTTTCCTTCACTTTCTAAATTAGCTTAGTGAGACATCGATCTACTGGGCCCTAATGGGGATAAGGCACTTTGTTTAAGTTTGTTTAAGCTGACAAACAACCAGTTCCACTAAAGCTCAAGATACTTCAGTTTAAGAATATCTCCCAGAGAAATCCCAAAGCCCCATGAAGCGAGCTCAGCACTCATGCTGAGAGGGAGCTGAGACTCCGTTCCATTTGCTTTATTTGTTGAGCTACATGTTTTCTTATCAAACCAGGCCGAGATGATAAAATATKTCTGAAACTCATTCCTTGAATTTGCAGGTAGTAAGTATAAGAAATTGSTAGGAGAGGGTCTGTGAGGAGGGTACAGGGAAGCAGGGAGGCCAGGAGCCTGCAGGTGTGAGGAGAGGGGCAACCTCAGCCCCCGGTTCACAGCCTGGCAGGATGGGGATCAGGCTGCATTAAGGRCGTCAAGCAGACTCCTTTTTCATCCCCACATGCTGGTCCGTCTGTTAAGGCCCTCTTGCTGAGGCTGGACAGCAGCCCATGTTGCCTCCACATGCATAGAAGAAGCCTGTCTTCTCTGTCCAGGGAAGACTGGAGCCAGGCAGATGGAAGAGGAGGGTAAAATGGGGCCACAAATTATGGGATGATAGGACAGTGGGGAGAACCCAGAGCAATGAAGGGTGTTTGCACAAGCTGCCTGGTGTTTGCCGGGAGGCAGCTCCGAGCCCTGCGCTACCCCTGRATCCCTCTGTTTTGCAGAGCGACTCCTCCAGCGACAGCGAAAGCGAGGACCATTTCCTGATGCTTCCCCCCCGGGACCACCTGGGYCTGGCCCTGTTCTCCATGCTGTGCTGCTTCTGGCCCCTGGGCATCGCTGCCTTTTACTTCTCCCAAGGGGTAAGAGATCCCGTGCTCGGCTGTGTGTGCTCAGCTTTGCTAAGCTGCTGGAGCAAGGGGAGAAAGCACCTTCTGCAAATACACATGTGGGTTAGCAGCAGCCAGCTTTTTCCTTTGGGTCCTTCCAGTGTTGTTTAGGCACCTGGTGCTTTCCTTTGCCCCTTGCCCATGTTCCCCCACCTCCAACCATGCCATGAAGGCAAAATGATTCTCCATTTGCCTCCCATTCCCTGGTAAGCACTGTGTGGAGGTCCTGCACCACTGTCTGGGCCATGCTGAGCCAACTCATAGATGGGAGTCAGGCTGCCAAGACCGGGTGCAACTGAGCACCCGGTCTCTGCATCTCAGTACACGTTCATCACTATATTTGCTTCTGATGCTGCTTTGCTAAACTCTGCAAGCCAAAGCAAAACTGTTTATAGCTGGAAGGGAAGGTCTCTCATCTCACTGAAACTGCTCTGGGATTCCCAGGACATTCTAGGTTCAAGACCCACACCAGGTGGCCCATTCTCATTGCCTTCCCCTGTAGTAACGTTCCTGACATCAGCAGTTGGAAAGCATCAGAGGCTGGAGAGGGCTGTGGGCCTTGGGTTGCACCAACTTGGAGGAGCTGCAGCCTTTTTAAGGGCTTAACACAGACTCTGGATGCAGATTCATTAACATTAATCCGGAACAGCTTATGCCAGGAAATTTTGTAAAGGTTTGTGCAGATATTGCTGTACCAAAAATAGATGAGTGAAGGGTTTTAAAAAGTGAAATCAAGAGGATGGAAACAGAAATGGAAAAGGATATTTATAATGAGTATCTAGCAACAGAACCAGTGAAAGAAAGATAAAACTTTAACCATGTCAGAGGTGGCTAATCACACATCTTTGCACATGGTGCAGGCGAACATTGTGACTTCTCCATGTAATGATGTACATCATCCAATTTATATTTAGCAACGAGTTCCATTTGCTAAAATTACCGCATCTTTTCTCTCTGGGGCAAGGCCCATCTCCGTATTCTGGGCTTGTGCACAATGGATGTCCTGATCTCCACATAGCAACTCTAACACAAATAGGAAAAAGCACTAAGATTAGACTTGAACATGCTCTAAGTACTCAAGGAAGCTGAAAGTTCCCAATGCAGAGATATAACATTCATTTTTATCTCCATCACCAACTGCATGAATCTAGTCTRTGTCGAATAGGTTCCCGTTGAAAGCCAGATGCAGACATAATCAAGTACTGGTATAGCCAGGCCAAGCTGTCCAGGGTCCCCTCTCTGAGAGGAGGCAGTGCCAAAGTCCTCAGCAGAAAGAATAACTTTCTAGTGCTGCAGTACTCAAATCTGGGCTGATCCCTGCAAATCCATGATCCTAATTAAAGTTTCTGCAGATCCACTTCAGATATTCATATAAATTAATTCCCATAGCCCGGGACAGTAATTTCTGCAGATTTGGGCTTTAYGTGTGTAAACACACACAACTATTTCATTAAATGGCCTTGTGTTATGTCATTTCAGAAGCATGGCACCCAGTCCCCTCCATGGTGCCACTTGTATCTAGTTCATACCRCAGGGACAAAACCCAGGAGAACCAAACTTTTGTCTTGACCTGCAAAGGTCCATCAGCCATCTCACAGCTCCCAGAAGTCTGGAGTTTGAAGACAAATGGTCCAAGCCTCTGCTCCTCTTTAAGACAAAAAAAGTGAAGGCAGAAAAAGAGGAGATTCAGGGAAACATGAGTGTGTTGAACTCTTTGTTGAACCTTCCTGGAGCTACAGTCCCTTTGCTGTCCATCCCACCATGCTTCCCTGACTCTCATGGCCTTCATGGATGAGATGGCCAGGATGGATTGAGTTGTGTACTGAAAAAAACATAGAAGTCATGGCTCCAAGACATATWTAGTGTTCTACCTAACATATTTCTAAACAGAGATAGCCCAGCAAGAGCTCAGAGCATCAGCAGAATTCCCAGTGAGTCTACCCAAAGCATGAAAGTCTGTTAGCAAAGTGCAAAGGTTTGGATTGAGCTGATATCAAAAAATGAAGCGATTAATTTAGGGCCCTTCTCAGGTCAGTACAGAGAGGGACAGCTGCAGAGGGTGTTTTGAACCATTTACTTGAGACTCCTCTTTGGGCAGGAATAATAGCCCTCTGGAAGTATCTGTGTTATTCACGCAACCCTGTTTGGACACCTGAGCACTTCACCTCCAGCTACTCCAATTGAATGAGACAAGTTCAGCCCTGGTCTCTGCATGCACACACCTCTATGCATGCCCTTCGGCAACTGTATTGCACACAGACTCAAAGGCCAAACTGAAGCAGTCATGAGCAATGAACATTTCCAAAAATCTAACRTGAAGCAGAGCAAAGACAGCTTTCTCTGCAAATCTTGTATTCACTCCCTAAAAATCACAGCAACATTTCCTCTCCATTAYACTTTAAGACACCAGAGCACGGCCTCCTCATTAAAAGAAACCATCCAAATATCCCCTTCCCCTTCAGCCATGAAATTCAATGTGTACAGAAGTGGGCATAAAATCCTTCTGTTAGTGCTCTCCCCTTTGAACCACTCACCCCCCTCCTTGCAGAGCTCGTGTGCCCGAATCCCGCCTGACCTAGACTGTGTGGCAAGACCCTTAACRCGTTGCCTTCTCTTTGCAGACCAGTAAGGCTGTCTCCAAAGGAGATTTCCACCTGGCCAGCTCAGCTTCCCGGCGAGCTCTCTTCCTGGCTGCGCTCTCCATAACCATCGGCACGGGAGTGTACGTTGGGGTTGTCGTAGCATTGATCGCTTATCTCTCCAAAGGGGGCCATGTTTAGCTGCCACCTACACCTCAATGCCATCCCCAGCAGCCAGCTCTCCTGGGATCGAGCCTTCCTGTGGAGCACAGGACACCAATAATTGCAAGGGCTACTTGCACAGGAAGATCCAGGCTTGGATGCGCTGCACAGGCTCTTTCCCCTTTCAGACAAACAGTAGACCAACCCCTGTTCTCTCCGAGGCTGTGGATGTCAACCACCATCAGGAAAGTCAACACCAACCTGGGTGCTGGGACCAGGAGGAGCATGTTTCCCTCATGGAAGAGATGCAAGAGTGATGTGCCAYACTGCTGCTTGCCTGGTGCCACCACAACCACCACCACCACCAAGGCACCAGCTTCCTTTCCCAGGCCTGCAGCAGAGAGATCCACCAATTATTTCCCAGGTTTCACCCTTGAAGGAGGCATGAAGGGAGAAAAGGGGATATAACGCTGGGGAATCATCACTCTTTCTTCTGAGAGACCAGGGTCATGGCATGGTTTGAAGACCTCTGAGGACAACATTGTCATTTGAGTACCATGGGGACGTACCTGGCCSTCCAGCTGCAGTGGAGCAGGAGGGCACAGCATGGACACAATTCAAGGGCAYGCTCTGGGGTGCTCTCAGCATCTACTCTGCAGAGACACTCCAGATCCAAGGTAGCCAGGAGCTGTCCCTGCTGCTAGAGCGGTCATTTGCCCCTTCCAGATAAGAAACAAGGAGAACCACAGTCTGGTGGTTGTGCACGGTCACTTGACTTGTTCAAGCTTGTTTAAGGGAAAGACAAGGCTTCCTCAATCGACAATAATGACAATCATGATAATTGCAACTTGGAGCCCCACTAAGGTTGTCCTCCCATGGTGCTTGGCCCTTCAAAAGACTTGCAGTGGGAATTTCTACCCAAGAAGCAACCAAAGAGGGGCAGGAGAGGGAGGATGGGAGGGAAATAGGGAACTCCAGATCCAACAGGTTTGAGAAACATGAGCCCAGTCACCACCACTACCAGCCAATCGCTGGGGAGAAAAGGGTTGTTCTGCCACATCTTCTCCTTCCCCAGAAGCGAAGGACACCTCTCTCACCACTAGCTCAGTGGCCTGCACACAGAGAGGATGGGTAGGAGAGGCTGCTTGCAAGGGGACCAAATCCAGAGAGGGGGAAGGCTTGGAGTGAGCACAACAAGACATGAGGGTGACCCCCAGGATAMACCTCTCCCCACGCCGTGGAGAGGAGTACACCCATCCATCCAGTTGCCTCTGTTGACAAGGGAGCACCGTGTCCCCATGCTTGCATCTTATTTTTGCTTCTTTGTGTATTGTCAGCAACACATCAAGTGCTTCACAAGTGGATTGGAGGGCAATGACTCTGTCCCAAAGAGTTTGCTTTAAAAGGTTCTGGCCAGCCTCATCCTCCCTCTCCCTCCCTCCTCCCAATATCTCACCTTATAATGCCTCATTAGGGCCATTTCTCCTCTTGCCCCTTCCTTTTGCCATGGACAGTGGGCTGTAGGCAGACTCTGGTTCCTCTCACCTTCTCCCTGGGGTTTCTGCACACACTGTAGCCACCTCCGTTAGAGGCRCAGCATGTTCCTCGAGCTGTGTATCATTCAGATGTACATTTCATCCTACAGCAGCATGTTGATGTCTACAGTTTCTGTTGTACTTGAGCCATAAAAGAGAGAAGCACATCAGAGACCTGTTCAGAAGCTATTCTGAAGGTTCCCATTATGTTTTATAACATGGAAGAGCTAATAAAAGAGCAGGACAAAAAAAAAAGAAATTGTTTATAATAACATGGAGCGGGACAGCAAGGAGGTGAGCCTTGCACACTGCTCCAGGAGTGCTGAAAACACTTAAACCTGAAGACGTTTATGCAGTTCCCTAAGGAAGTTATAATCCAGCTGGTGGCTGGGCAGCTCAGAGGGAGATGTACAGCAATGTAGATCACAGCAAGAGGCTAACGCTGGGAAGAGCATGGTAATGTGGGCCTCTTGCTGCGCGTGGATGGACAAGAATTACACAGASAGAGACTGGAGCATCATTTATGTTCATTCTGCTGTGTGTATAGCAGAAGCACAAAATAAAGTGTGCTCAAAGAGGGCTGGAAAAATATAAACACCAGAAATGAATACCAAGATGGAGCAAATAGAGACAGTTCACAGGGAAGGACCAGAGGAGACATGAGATGGCCTGYAGAGGGGACACAAGGTCTAATAGTTGAGGAATAGTTTTCATTCTCTTCCATATAGTCCATATAGTGCTTTGTTTGTACCTGAAAACAAATGAGCAGGACAGGAATAACAGCAAGCAGACAAAGAGCTGCCCCAGGAATTGTAGCAAGCTCATCAAACAGGGAGCATGGGGAGTTTCAAGAGGGTTTTATYCTAAGTCTGGATTTCCTAAGCTGCACAGGCTAAAAGCAGAAGGGATATCATGCCTTGATCTGTAAGCCCATCCTTGGGCCGTGAACAAACCTCACCTGCAGCAATGCTCAGGTGCCCTGTGCAGCGTGGGCAGCCCCAGGCAGGCGGGAGCCCTGGGCTGGGCACTAGGTGCAGGTGGGAATGGGTGAGCTGGGACAGGGCCAGGAGGGTGAAACGGGAGGAGTGCAGGGATAGCTCACACATGGATGAAGCCCCGGAGGACTGAGTGGTTAGAGAATGCAGCCTCCTGCAGAGCTGCACACAGCTGTGAAGCACGCAAAGACCACGTCGGCAGGGGCTGGGGCTTGCAGGAAGACACGTGCCCCACGCTGCGCTCGGCTCCAGGTACCACCTCTCACCCTCGCAGGCACAACCCGAGCCTCGAGCGAGGTCCGTTTGCGGAGGAAAGGAGCCTGCGGCGCTGCTTCCCCTCGCTCCCAGGAGAGCATGTCCAAGTAGCGTAGGGGCACGGGTCCCACCAGGTGCAACCCGAGCCCCTCACCTTGTGCGCTCAGCAGGGTCCCAGCCAAGGGCGGCCGCCACCATCTCTCCGCTCACTCGCCTCCCGCCAGCAGCTGATCCCTGCCCGGAGCAGGGACCGGCACGGAGCCCCACGGGCRGCCCAGAGAGCTGTGAGAGACCCGTGCAGAGCCCTGGTGCCTGGCAGCGAATGGCAGCTCCCAGGAAAGATAAACCCCAGGCAAAACTGTCCAGCCTGCTTGATCCCCATTGGAAATGAGAAGCCTCCTTCACCTGCAAGTGTGTAATTGCCCCGATCACATCCCGTGCAACAGAGAYGCTGCGCTGAGCAGCAAGCGCCCACGAGCCCCCAGCTCATCTGGCTCCACAGGGCAAGGSCACCTCAGCTCTGTGCACTCATCCAAATTCACCCCTTTGTCTTTTTTAATTGGAAATATCAGAAGAAGGACTTGGTTAAAGGGCCAACGGAATTAAAGAGCATTTTCCGCTAATGGTCTGAATCTCCAATGGTCTTGTAAAGCTGGGAGCGGGGGGAGGCTGTGCGTGAGCATCCCTAAGGGGGGCATTATGCAGATGAGGAAATTAGTTGGAAACAGCCTGAAGGGAAACATGTGGAAATTGAAATCTGAGGAAGCAGCACGGAGACTGCTGCTGAATAACTTACTATAGACGCCCAGCGTCTGCTGCAGCCCCTGGAGCAGAACGGAGAGACACAAGAAGGCAACAAGTCACAGCAGCTGGAGAAAATGCAAGCTCCAAAGATGTGCTTGAGCTAAATAAAATAAAAATAAAATAAAATAAAAGTTTAAATAACCCTGCCAGGGGTGTGGGAAGGGAAGCAGGGCCCTGCCCTGAGCACCCAGGGCGGGCTGCAGCGGTGCCCAGCGCCCCGTCCCGGGCAGGCTGCTCTCTGCTTGCTGTCCCTGTCCCTCAGTGCCTGTCCCCAGGGCCATCCCGACTCAGAGCCCTCCTGCCCGCTGCTCTCGGCCCCATATCACAAAGCCCTAAGAGAAGCAAGAGAAGGAAATGGAGTGAATTGCAGGAAAGCCTATCCCCAGCGCCTGCACCTCACTGCAGCAGGGGCAGCTCCTGTCCCCAGGGATGCTCCTTGTGGAGCCAGGAGGTCATCACAAATTGCCTGAAAAGTGCAGGTTTTGTCTGGAGTGTCTGTGCTGCACTGRGCTCCTTTCCTAAAACTGAAAAACACGTCCTCCAGGTCAGCTTCCTTTCATATCCTCTGCAATGTCAAGTGGAGCCCTTCGCAGCAGGTTCTTCCCTTCGGATGTGGCTCCCTCCTGAGAGAGGAGAGGGCCGATAGCACCGGTACCAGAGCAGAGGTGGCTTTGTATCCTGCCCCCGTCTGCGAGGCAGAGAGAAAATAAAGCTGCCAGAGAGAAAAGCACTGGCTTATTGGCCACAGATCTGAGCGACTGGTACATCTGAGGCACGTCTCTCCCTGCACGCTCCCTCCCACTTTGTTCGTGCTACTATCCCCCTCGGCAAATGCTCCAGCGCAGAGAAAAGCAGGAGCAGGCTCAGATGCCGGGCTTTGTAATAGCAACAAGGGATGCTGAGAGCGGGACGATGCTGCATCTGTCTCATCTTCACCCAAGAGCGGGGCATGAGGACAGGGGATGGAGGAGAAATGCAGGGCTGCAGTTTTTGCAGGTCCCAGCACTCCTGGGATTTCTCAGGAGCCGACACTCGCCAGCCCCATGCAGGGAGCCCCACTGACCCCAGTGCTGGSCTGAAGGGTCCTGCTTAGCACTGTCCTCCCCAGCCCCACAGCCAGGCACGGACCCAGCCTGCGTGCTCCCCAGGGCCTGTCCTTCTGCAGGGGCTGGATGGCAACAGCGCTGCTGGGGCAGAAAGGTCCCTGTGCCCCCACGTGTCCTGTGGAGCCTGGGGAGAAGAGAGACGGGAATAAAAGCAGAGTACCTCTTTCTCCTCACTTAATGGCAACATCAGTGTTCTCCCTCCACAGCAATCCAGAAGGGAAATAGTAATTATCCGTGACAGAATAAATTTTGTATTCTTGCAGGGGAAAAAAAGAAAAGAAAAAGAAAAGGAGTGTTTCTCAGTGAATATATTCACCCTCCCTATCCCTTCTCCTCTGCTCCCCACAAACAGCCTGCAGCAGAGAGAGACCGGGGAGGCACAGCCTGTGGCACTGCCATCTCTCCCAGGGCTGGAGGCAGAGGATTTGCACAGAGAGGAGCCAATTAAGGGCCATCACTCAGGCATCAGCYGCTGCGAAATGGGACCGCTCATTATCTCTGCTCTCCCTGGAGATGCAGCAGCCACAGGCAGCTCCCTCTTCCAAGGTGTCCCATAGCCACACGTGCACAAAGGCCCAAGGGCCAGGTCACCATGCACCTCACATCACTTCCTTGCCATGCAGGGCAGGGAGGGGGCCTGTCCCAAGGATGCTGGAGGCCRCTTCTGCAGATGTGTCAGCTCCTCTGAATTGACCCACTTTTGCAGCTGGTGGAGGTCCACAGCCCAAAGTTGACAGCTTTGCAAGAGAATTGCAGCTCCCCTTTCAAAGATGGATTTAAAAAAATTGAAATACACTCCTAAGCCACAAGCTTAAGGGCTTTGGAGAGTTTGGAGAAAAAGAAAGCTGTTATTCAAGGCAGGCAGGGCCTGTACCCCCCACCCCAAAGGTACGGGAGCTCCCCAGAGCAGAGCAAAGGAGCTGGTGCTGCCTCTTCAGCAGTGCCAGGGGAAGGATGAACACAGGAGGCCACCTGCTTGCATGTGGCGTGGAGGAGCCTCCCTTTCCTCCCTCTATCCCACTCCATGTAGCCGGGATTTTTCCACTCCTGTTCTCAGCAAAGAGCGGGTGAGCCTCAGAGCCGCCCATCGCCCTCCCTCCCCATTGGACGGCTGGGGCTGTTGTGCCACAGGATGAGTGGCACTGGGCTGGCGCTCAGCACGGCTGCCACATTGCTGCACTCACAGGGAGCTCCACGGTCCTACGTGCGCTGCACAGTCCCGCACGGCAGGACACGTGGGGATGGAGCTGGGACATCTTCACCTGAGCTGGGAGCCTATGCTGTGAGATCGAGTGTCGCTCTGCCTCCCCATCCCGCYGGAGGCCCCTGCAAAGACAGCGCTGGGCAGCAAGAAGTGGCCATGGATGGATTTTAGCCTGAGACAGCATCAGTCACTGCTGTGTGCTGCAGAAAATTAGCGTGCAAAGGGGTGTCCACTGCTCCCTGTTCTTGAGACATGGCAGTGCTGCCACCAGGAACCAGGCTGGGGAAGATGCTGGAAATATAATTTATTCTTATTTATTGGCTGCGTGTCG